GCGAGGTGGCGGGCGCCTGTAGTTCCAGCTACTCGGGAGGCTGAGGCAGGAGAATGGCGTGAACCTGGGAGGCGGAGCTTGCAGTGAGCCGAGATTACGTCACTGCACTCCAGCCTGGGAGACGGCGAGACTCCGTCTCAAAAAAGGAGAGAGAGAGAGAGAGAGAGAAAGGGTCTTGCTGTTGCCCAGGCTGGAGTACAATGGCATGCTCACTGTTCACAGCAGCCACCATGCCCGGGTTTTATTTTTTTTAAATTTCTTGTAGGAATGGGGTCTCCCTATGTTGCCCAGGCTGGTCTCAAACTCCTGGGCTCCGTCCATCCTCCCGCTCCAGCCTCCGAGTGCTGGGATTACGGGTGTGAACCTCCAGCCCCAGCTGAGTCCCTTACTATGTGCTGGGTTTGGGGGCTGCAGACTGGCTGTCCAGGGACCAAATCTGGCCCTTGGTCTTGTTTCCTAAGACCCGCATGGTGCTGCAAGGGAAAAGGTGAAAATGTGGCCGGCACTGGAAAAGTTCCCTCCCCCAGCCACCAGGACGCCCCTGAACCCAGGAGGCCTTAGCTACAGGCGGCTTCACCAGTGGGCTGATTCCTGGGGTCGTCTAGGAGGTAAAGGAGGGCAAACCGCAGTGGGGGTCTCGGGAACAGGGTGTCCCGCTCGACCCAAAGGCCTCCATCTGGGCTGTGCAGAGGGCGGAGGACGCAGAGGGCGGAGGACGGGGGAGTCCTGTGCCTCCCGCCCAAGGAGCCACACCCTCCTGTTATGGGCAGGCGGGGACTGTGTGCTGGCTGCAGAGGATGGAAAGGAGTCTGTCAGAGCAAAGGGGGAGAGGGCTGTTCCTGGCGGTGGAACAGCTGTGTGAAGGCCCTGAGGCCGGACGGGGCCACCTGCCCTGGGAGCTCCGGTCAGATAACGCCAGGGGCACCCGCATGCAGAGCCCTGTGGGGGGAAGAGGCCTCCAGGAGGTGAGGGGTCAGGCTCACAGGCAGGTGGCTGGGGGTGCGCACACTGGCCCTGCCACACCTGTCATCCCAAATCCCTAAAACGGGATTGCTGTTGGGTTCTCAGCGAGGCACAGAGGTGCCCAGAGCGGCCTGCAGAGCTCCCCTCAGCCCTGTGGACCTTGGGGCCGGACCGTTCTCTGGGGTGGGGCTGTCCTGGGCACTCAGGATGCTGAGCAGCGTCCCTGGACTCCACCCACTCCATGTCAGGAGCTCCCCCAAGTTGTGACAACCACAGATGTCCCCAGACATGGGCCAGGGTCCCCTGGGGGCGAAATCACCCTGGTTAAGATCTCCTGGGTTAGGGGATTCCACAGACCCCCTAGACTCTGCGTCCCATGATCCTCTGCCCTGCTGGGGTCCCAGGAGGCTGCACACACTGAAATCCACGCCCTGAGTGGGGAGGCAGAGAGGAGGTGAGTCCCAGGAACTGGGGTCCCCTAGTTTACACCGTCTGCCTCATCGGGAGTTGATCCTGGTGTCTGCTGTGGGCAGGAAGAGAACTGTTTTTCCCCACCTTAAATAATTTCCCAACGCCTATTCTGTGGACGCTGAGGTGCCAGATTGTTCTCTGGGGTGAGGCCATCCTGGGCACTGCAGGCCACTGAGCAGTGTCCCCGGCCTCCACCCACTCCACACCCGGAGCACCCCCACAGCTGTGACCACCACAGGTGGCCCCAGACATGGGCCAGGGTCCCCCTGGGGGCACAGACCCTGGCTGAGGACCCCTGCTCTTTTTTTTTTTTTTTTTTTTGGACAGTTTCCCTCTTGTCACCCAGGCTGGAGCGCAGTGGTGCGATCTTGGCTCACTGCAACCTCCGCCTCTCGGGGTCAGGCGATTCTCCAACCTCAGCCTCCCGAGTAGTTGGGACTACAGGCGTGAGCCACGACGCCCGGCTAATGTTGTATTTTTAGTAGAGAAGGGGTTTCTCCATGTTCGTCAGGCTGGTCTCAAACTCCCAACCTCGGGCAATTGGCCCGCCTCAGCCTCCCAAAGTGCTGGGATTATAGGCGTGAGCCACCGCACCCAGCCTTTTTTATTTTCTTCTTCTTCTTTTTTAAGACAGAGTCTTGCTCTTGTTGCCTAGGCTGGAGTGCAATGGCACAATCTTGGCTCACTGCAACCTCCGCCTTCCGAGTTCAAGCAATTCTCCTGCCTCAGCCTCCCGAGTAGCTGGGATTACAGGCGGGCACCATCATACCTGGCTAATTTTTGTATTTTTAGTGGAGACGGGGTTTCTCCATGTTGGTCAGGCTGGTCTCAAACTCCCGACCTCAGGTAATCAGCCCACCTTGGCCTCCCAAAGTGCTGGGATAACAGGCGTGAGCCACTGCACCGGCCAGACCCCTGCTTTTGTATCTGTCTTCTGCTGTCCGGAACTAGACCTAGAGCGATGCCGGGCAGAGGGGGGTAGAGCACCCTCTTCCACTCACCCCTGGCTGTGCTGGGCAGGGGTGGAGGGTGGAACTGGAGGTTGGGGAGACGCCAAAAGAAAACAACACCACACGACACAGTGTTTTCTGTTAAAAGTCAGAAGTGTTTTCTCTTGTTTTAATATCTCATCAGCTTTACAGGGTTACAATCGTCTTAAATATTTCTGAAGTTTAAATACAATCTGCATAATAATGTTATTATAAAATGTAAACTTTCAGTGTTCTTTTAAATTTCAAAATCACACATTTTTTTTTTGGTCTTTTTGTCTTTTTTTTTTTTTTTTTTCCTTTTAATACCTGAATGTTCTGCAAAAACTGAAATTGTTACAGGCCACCCTGCTGCGGCCAGGGCGACACAGGCTGGGCCCAGCCAGAGGTAGAGAGTAGTTTTATGGGTTTGTTTGTTTGTTTTTTTTAAAGTTTATTTATTTATTTTTTTTCTCCTATTACCTGAGTTTCAGGCGTGGTCCCCACGCCATCTGACAAACCCCAGAGAAACTGAAATTTCACACATCATGAATGAATGAAAGGCTGAGTTTACGTTTGCCAAGAAAAAAAATACAAAAGCACAGTTAGGGAATAAAGGGACAAAGTGAGTTAAAAAATGATAAAAGGAAGGAAATTCGACTGTACAGATGCGTGACTCTTAACAATGACCTGGCTGCCCCCGGTGCCCCGTGCCCACCCTCCCGCCTGTCCCCCCAACATCTCAGAGCAGGGGGAGCCCCCCTTGGCCTTGAGTGCGGGGTGCCCACTCAGTACGCAGCTAGGCCCCACGGTCCCAAGTGAACTCGAACCCGTCCAGGGTCCTTGTGGCTGAGGGGGCTGCCCGGCCCCCTCCCGGTCTGCATAAGGGGGTTGCTGAGCTGCACCCCAGAAAGCCACCCCGACTTTAAACCCCCACCGACAGGCGGTGGCGGGAGATGGGCACGGCTGGGGTTGAACAGGGCTACCTGAGGCAGGGAGGACCCTCTGGAGCCCACGGCTTCCTGCCCAGTATCCAGAACCAGGCCCCACAGACTCCCTGCAACGGCCTCCCATTTCCACGGCCAGCACGGCCACGGCCTTCAGTGCCTTCCTTCTCCTGGGCCGGGACCCAGCCTCGCGCCCACTCCCCACCTGCCCCCCACTTGTCCCTACAATCATTGGAGTTAACAGCAGGCCCAAGTTCCCTGAGTTAGAATCCAGTTCCACCCACCGCCGGGAGGCCGGATTGCCCACACAGACACGACACACAGGATTCCCGACACACACACGCAGCCCGAGAGACGAGGCCCAGGCCGCGGCCCTGCGCAGCCCCTCCCCAGCCT